TAACTCTAACAGTTAACACAGCAAAGTGGAGAATTTTTATTAGGTTATTGAAATGTATGCTTCTCTATCAGTATTCTGCCAGAATTCTTCTGTGCCCATAAGAATAGAAATAAGAAGTTACCATGTGAAAACAATAATTGAGTAATGTATTTTAACATTAAAAATTCTGATTTTCTGTTTACAAAAGAATAATGCTTAATAAAAGCTTGTCATTTTTCCTGAGGATACATTAAGTACTTTCAGAGTTATTGAATGTATACCACCATGGTTACATGGTGGTTACAAGGTCATGTAAAATACAGGAGCCCATTTCGTTAGACTTAATGAACAACAAATTAGTCTGTGGTGTCAACAAATATGGAACAACTCGGAAACCTTTTGAATACTTTGATGCAAAAAGTTTTCAATTAAAAATTTAACTCTAACAGTTAACACAGCAAAGTGGAGAATTTTTATTAGGTTATTGAAATGTATGCTTCTCTATCAGTATTCTGCCAGAATTCTTCTGTGCCCATAAGAATAGAAATAAGAAGTTACCATGTGAAAACAATAATTGAGTAATGTATTTTAACATTACTAATTGGCCCGGCATGGCCAGTTGGTTAAGGCACTCAACTCGCAATCTGAGGGTCGTGAGTTTGAATCCCCGTCACACCAAACATGCTCGCCCTTTCAGCCGTGGGGGCGTTATAAAGTGACGGTCAATCCCACTATTCATTGGTAAAAGAGTAGCCCAAGAATTGGTGGTGGGTGGTGATGACTAGCTTCATTCCCTCTAGCCTTACACTGCTAAATTAGGGATGGCTAGTGCAGATAGCCCTCGTGTAGCTTTGTGCAAAATTAAAACAAACATTACTAATTACCAAGAACTCCTATATACAAGTAAGTGTCTCTTATTTTGTTGTCTTTTCTGAATAATATGCCCTATAGTTTTGATTATATTCCCCCTATATATAATTATTTTTGCTTAGAATCTGGTGGGAGGCTTGTAATTGTTTCTATTCAAGAAAAACTGAAGCTTGTATAAACCAACTACTCATATTTTAATATAATTTTAAAATACATTCTCAACAGAGTATCTAAATGACAAATAAATCATTGAGGGTACATGTTATTGATGTCATTACCACTATCTACTGTTTATGAGTAAGGGTAAATTATACCTATTAAAATTTGCTGTTATCTGAAATTCAGCTAGTAAGCCTTTCTTAAAGGCTGAAGGCTGTTTTTCAATTGAGACTATTTTAGTGTCATTGCAAATGTAATTTAGATACAAAACACATCTTTGTGGTTAAAATGTTTTCACAAGTATTTGCATTTAACCACTAAAAATGTTTAATTATTGTTGGTAATTTTTGACTTGAGGGAGATACAGAAAGCATAAAATAACTATGAAAAACTAAATTGTTTTGAACAAAAATTTTATGTCCTCCATTTGTAATTTTGCATGCATGGGAGTGAATATGTTAGTAATATAAAACACACAGATATTAACATGATTTTTAGAAATTTTTTCAGTTATCTTTTTTAGGTTATAAATTGATATTTAGTGTATCGATAATAGATTGACAGTCCATTTAATTAGCTATACTCTCGGCATTAGGCCTGCTTGACAGCATGCCCAGTGTGAACTTATCTGATTTTGCATATTACTGTCATTAACACAGTTTTATTTTTCATAATGCACAACAATTATTAGCAATGACTTGAAAAAAAAACTTTTGTTGTTAGTTTTAGTCTGCAATAAATAGAAAATATTATGAGCAGTGTATATATACACACACACACACATACATATATGTATTTTTAAGATAGCTTATCCTCTAAACTGAAAATTGTGTACCATTACAGGCCTTACTAGAGATAGGTGTTGTTCTTGGTTCTGATATGACTCCTGAGGCAGCCCTTACGAAGCTTAGTTATATTCTGAGCAAGTCTCAATGGTCATTTGAAACAAAACGAAAGGTGAGTATTTTATATCAGGGTATGGAAGTAAATGTGATATTAAACAAAATTTTGATGTGTGTTAAAAATGTGACTTTCCTACTTTATCTCTTTTAAAGTGAACATTTGATAAATAAAGAAAAACAAAGTATATGGTGAAAACCTGAAAAAACACTGGTGCCAATTTAAAGTAAACTTGGATTATTGGTGTTTATTAGTATGTTGGTACAAAACGTTTTTGTGGTTAAAAGTTTTTCACAGGTATTTGCATGCAACCACTGAAAATGTTAGGTAATTACTAGTAATTTTTTAATTAGGGGAAATACAGAAAACCTATAATAACTGTATGGAAAACACTTGTTTTGAACAAAACTTTTATTATGTCCTGCAGATGTTCATTTGGCTGAAATGTTAGTCACTATTTTTTCTCATTGCACTTTATATTACTTTCTTGTGTGTGTCTGTATTTTACGAAGTTAAAGAAAACATTGTTTATTCCTTGATTTACTTACAAAATGTGAAGAACATAACTTATCACCAAGTTACCATTTGTTCAACATTTAAGAGTAATATAGGTCAAGTTATTATCTTGACTATTTTCTGACTATATATATCATAGAGAAGTAGATGATCATTAAACAGACGACATCCTTGTGAAGGTGCTTTCACCTAGGAAACTTTTGTATGCCATGTTTTTCACTAATACTGTTTCTCAGAATGCTTGTTTGATTCAGGCTATTACACACAATTTTTAAAACTGTATTGTAAAAGTTTTGAAGGAAAATGAGAAATGGAATAAAGTCTAGTAAATATAAAACTGATAAGTAATATATTACAGGTCTTTTCAAAAGACACAGATAGCTATGAATTATAGTAGCATGGTCTGAATCTTTAACATTAGATACATATACTTAACATCATCTATCCTCTAGAGCAGTGCTTCTCATTCTTTTCCAATATCATTCACCCCTATAAGTAAATTTCACAACAGCTTACTCACCACAATTTGAAAAAGACAAAAAAAGTACTAAATTAAAATGCAAATTTCTATATTATGACTCAAATATACATCAAACTACAACTAAAATGAATACAATATATAATAAACAAAAAATAAATGTATTTATCAAACTACAACTAGAATAAATGATAATAACTAATGACTTTTTTGCTCTTGAATTTGGTGTATAATTGATAATACTCACTCATCCTGTTTCTGATCTCATTAATCCTGGCTGAACCATTCATCCAGTTGAGAAGCGCTACTCTAGAGAAATATAAACTTGATTATTTGAATTCAAAATCTGTAAGAAATATTAATTTTTATGTAAATAATTTTGTATCTGTAGAGGACTGAAACCCTTCCCCAACTAATCTCTAAAAATTTGTGTTTTTGGTAGTTAAAAAAAGTAAATAATAAGCCTTTTTATATCTTTTAATGTGTTTGTTTCTTTTTAAGATGATGGAGACTAACCTGAGAGGTGAACTAACTGTAGTGAAGAATACTAAGCTGGAAGATAAAAGTCTCATCACAGGAATTATTAATGCCATGCATATTTCTTCTGCAGAGGTAATTTTTGTTTGTAAGATAGGATATTTGTTAAACTGTTTATTTTTTACTGCCAATCATAGTTTGCTTTTTTTAAACAAACACATTAAGGGAAGTGAAAATAGGTTAGTTATTTGTACAAAACTAAAAATACATTGAACTATGCACAAGTTCTTTGGATTTTTTTTATTTTCCATTTCACATCTTTGGCTTAACCAAATTGCATGAAAGTTAATACAAACTTAACTCTGTAGTGTCTAGTTTCAGCTTTAAAAAATTAATATAATTTGTTTTAGTTCATAGAATTTACAAAATTTGGTTTTGAGACACTGTTTTGAAAAAAAGCTTTTTGTTTTTGAATCCCAGTTTTTTTTTATTTCTGATTAGAAAGTTCCACTTTGTATATCTAGTCAGTTTCAACTTTATTGACATTTCTTTTGATATTTTGTTTTGATAATTGCAGTAGTCATCACTTCTCACTATAAATCATACAAAACAATGTAAAAAAAGAGAGATTTATCCATGACTTGTGACCTTACCTTTCAAAGTGGTGTGACCATTAACTTTTTCAGGCTAGTTACAAATATTTTTGCTAACAATGTTTGTGGTTGGGATCTATTTATATTTAATAGAGACAAGTTTCTTTTCAAAAAATTTCCTTTATTTTTTTGTGTATGTTATTTGATTGTGAGTAACTTAACAGATATATTAAATAGATAAGGATTTGAGTCATTAGAATATTTTCCTCTTGCCTATTGTGCTTGCTAAGCTCAATTAAGCTTATCTTATGTCTTTTCATAGAAGCAAAATTATTTAACTTTCAAACAAATATAATTTAATGCAAAATATTTACAGAAACAAATGGAACATGTAAGAAAACTATAAAAAACATTCCAAAGTTTGTGGTTTATTCTTAAGTCTACTAAACTTCCCAACAGATTTCTACAACACTATACGTTACTGTGTTACTAAACAACTTTATTTACTACTATACAGTGACAAAAATAGTTTATCATCTGCTCTATCTAATCATATTTAAATGTTGCCTATAACTATTATCATTAGTAATTGTTCAGACCACATGCTGTGACATCATGCCAGGGTAGGAATGAAGGGCTATATAGTAATCAAATTACTTAAGGAGAATGATATTCACATGAGAAGTTTTTATTTATTTTTTTATCAATAAACAAGACTTTGAAATATGGGAATGCTGCAAAGTAGAAGCAAAAATGGACCTCTGCATGTCCCTCTGAAGCATTTGGGAAATCTTACCAGTCACCTTAGTCTGTGCATTGCACACCTCACTTCCAATCTAATATTCCAGGAATAATAGATAGCCTTCTGACACCTGTAACTATTTTATTGTAAAAAATATCATAATTCATCTTAACCTGAGTGTATGGTTGATGTTTGTTTTAATCTCAAAGGCTTTTGTCTTGTGAATTTTCTAACTTAGTTATGATATACTTATTTCCAATAAAAAGAAGTTAAAGTTGCTTATAAAGTTTATGGCATAGTAAAGGGCATTTCAAAGGAACTCATTTATGGGAAAACTTGGAAGTATTTCACGTATCTTCACTAATTATTGTTTTACCTAAATTCTGTTAGTATTATTTCTTATTAATATCAACTTGCTTCACACATATTTGTTTGATCACACACTTTTCATACTGAAATGTTTTTTATTTATTGAGAGTTTATTTTGAATAGGATTATTCTTACTTGCTACAATGCCAAAAAAATTATGAATTTTGTTGTTTGGTATTTTGAAAATTCTAAATATTTTGATATTGGTTTCTAACTTAAATGTACCTTATATGTGTTTTAGTTTAGTTTAGATGTTGGTAACATTTTTTCAAAGTGTTTGTATTACTCTAATAGTAATGTGATCAGTCGTTTTGATTTCAGCGGGACAGTGTCCCGTTTTCGAGCTGCCTGTCCTGCTACTCTTCAGAAACTTTAGGAGATGCGAAAATGTCCCAGTTTGGGAAATAATGGACTTAAATGTCCTGCATTATCAAAATTAATACTGTTAAGCACTACTGTACTATGACTGCACATAAGATTTGTCCTGTCCTCGTATAAAATCCTTCATTTTCGTGTATTAACGTTCAAATACATGGATAATCACATACTCATTGAGGATGTAATGATATGAAATTAGCTTGTTTATTGTCTCATAAAATACCATTAGATGTTAGTCATTGACCTTTATACTATGTCATTGAAATATTGTATATTAATGTTCAGTACATAGTAATATTACAAAACAATATGAAATTAGTTTACTTTATTTTCGGATATGCACTGAATGTCCAAAACATTTTTGACAATTTATTTTCGACTTTTATGTCTTGAATTTTTGCAGCTTGTATACAGTTATTACTTTAACATTTCTCTTACAGACACACTATCATTATATCAATATCTTAAACAAACTTTTGAGAGTTTCTTATGTTGAATTGTATACAATGCCAAAATAAATTATGAATTTTGTTTTTGGTATATTGAAAATGCTAAATATTTTGAGATATATATATATATATATATATCATAAAATTAAGATATTTATAAAACTGTAAATTTGATTTAATCTTTTACCCTGCCCCCATGATTTCTTATTTAAATGTACCTAATATGTATTTTAGTTTAGGTGTTGGTAAAACTTTTTCAGTGTGTTTGTATATTACTCTAATAGTGGAAAAGCATATACTAACTTTTTGGTATACAAATAGTTTGTCTCTGTCAAATTGACAAAATTATATGTGTTACTGTGATGGTAATGCTTTCTCTAAATTTGTCATTACTGATTTTCATACTTTATTGATACTTATATTTTACTTTGTATGCTATATGTTTATGCTTACAGTTAACTGTTTATTTTCAATATTATTACAAATTTGTTAAGCAACGTATAATAATTTAAATTATAGCATGCATTTTTTAATAAAATTTTTGTTTAATATTGCTTTGTTTAATTAACTTTCTCACTTCAGGCTCGGTCAGATCACCTGAGTTCATGACCCCAAATTGGCCTTTATAGTTTTAATACTATAACTTCTAATGTGTTTCATGTATCTCCATGAAATTTCACAATCTTTCAGTAAGCATTAAGAGCCTTTTGTAGACAAAAAAATCAGAATTTTTAAGGAAGTATTTTCAATAAAACTTTCTCTGGGACTATATGGTGTCAGTGTTGACTGTTCCAGGTGAATCATGATTTTCATGTTAAGATTAAAAACACTTTTCCTTCATCTGAAAATTGTCAAATTTCATTTCTGTAATCTCAAAAACCTTCTAAATAAATTTCGAATGTTTTTTGTTTTTTTTTCAGTAAAACTTCCCATTAATTGATTTCTTTTAAATTTGGTATATAGTTGGAATATATGTTCCTCTACCTTGAGAGCAAATGTTTTTTATAGTAGCTCAAGTATTCTCAGAGATATGGGCATAAATTTGGGCAAGAAATTACGTGTGCCACTGTTGGTGCATAGCTAAACATAAAACAGCAGCTCATGTGATTTCTTGTAGTTGATATGAATACTCTACAGATTTTGTAAAATGTTGAATACTTAGTCACAGTAGTTTGCATAAAATTCACACTTTTATATATTTATATATATATATTACAGCTATGCTATGGTTAGATTTAACTAACTAAATGAGAGTTTGTGACATCAGTAATTAGCTTGTTACTGTTTGTGACCATTTATTACTACCAGTTGAAGATGTTCTTTTGAACCTACTGTGAAGAAGCGGGTATAGTTGGGGGTTAGCCATGAAAACACTTACCTAGTAAAAATGATCAGAAAGTTTCTTTTGGTAGCCATTCCTGTAATTTGAGCTGGAAAGTAATTAATGTTGGACATTTTTTTTCATTGTTCTTTGTGAAATGTTTTTTAGATAAAAATTAATGAATTAGTTAATATTATTATTTTTACTTAAATTTTGAAACTTGACATACTAGGTATGCACTCAACACTTGAAAGGTACTCGTTGGTTGTATTGGGGCTAACTTGCTTTCTTTCTTGCTAGGAAGTTGAATCACTTCGTAGTGCTTTGTACCCTTCTATTCTCTGCTCAGTCACAGCTAAAGGTGATCTGGAAAAACTGGAAATAATGAGACAGTCTGTAAGTTATATGCTTGTTGTTTCAACACCTTGTAACTTGGAAACTATGAATTCTCCATAATGTTTAAAACATTATATCACCTAAGAAATTATATTTGCACATAACAGAAATTTAACATTAGTGAACGTGATGAATTTATCGGTCATGTCTAATTTTTCTCTTTAATACAGGATATGTGCGTGTGTTTATCCATCTACCAACACCAACTCTTCAAAACTAGTATATTATTCACCATTTGTCATTGTGTATTATAATGAATTTCAACCCCATATTTGTATAGATGTAAAAAAATAAATCATACAAAGATATTGCCTATTAATATAATTATGTAAAATATTAATGAACAGAGTAGTAGAAAATGTGGATAACAATTTTTATGCTGTAGAAGTTCAAAATGCAAAAAATCTATAAATAAAAATACATTGCTATTTCCTGTATAATACAAACATTTGAATGCAAACTTTTAATTGATTATTGCATGCAACAGATTTCACACATACTTTATACTGAAACAGCGAATTTGACCATTAGATGTATACAGACTTTACTTTCTACATGTAACAAAAATAATTTAGGTAATGAATAACTTCCTTGATAATTGCAGTACATAGGCAATTGTGTATTCATTCTGTTGTTACTTTATAATCCGCTAACTACTATGTTCATAAATCCATTCATCTATTCTGTGAAAAGATGCTTTTGTTTCACTGTTATAATATATCTAATAAATATTTTTACATAAAACTTTTTTTTATATATATCTTATTGTTATAATAATAATAATAAAGAACTTTTAAAAAATTATTTGTTAACTCAGTGATTTTTTTACTTGATTTTTTATTGTCTTAAGTTTTATTGTCAATAATATCTGCTAATCTTCTTCTTGGAGGGAGCTTACCTTTCAGCCTGTGATTATAACTTCAGGACTCCACTACACATTGCTGCATCAGAAGGTAATGTGGAAATGGTAAAATACCTTCTTCAGCATGGAGCAAGTGTCCACATGCGAGACAGAGAACACAAGTGCCCAATCCAAAATGCTATTGAGTTTGATCATCATTCAGTTATAAAACTGTTAAAAAAAGCTGGAAGTCATCTTTGTCTTCCTCCCCTCACCTTAGCAGATAATCTTATAAGGTTTGTGAATTCAGTCTACTTTGTATCCTAATTATTAAAAAACTACATTTAACAGGTTTGTGTGGTTTTGAGCTTCATATTCCATACCTTATTACTCTAGAAACAGAAAAAAATAAACATTGGACTATAGTTGAAGAAATGGTGTAGAAAATTTACCATTAACAACAAAAAATTATATTGAAGAAACAGTAACTGTTAACCTTTTACCTGACATGTTCCTGCATTGTGAGGACCTAATGTAGGTTTTGCCAAATTTTGTTCCAAATATAAAACTAGTAGATGAAACTGTTTGAAACTTGACAGGAACTCTCCTAAAGGCATGAAGTAGTAAACAAATATAGTTTTTTTATTTCAAACTTGTTTCATTAATTTATCTTTATTGAAAAGTTATTTGATTGTGCCAATAGCTTTTTCTACTCTGCCAATAGAAGTTGTATCAAACACGTGAATAATGCTCGAAACATGCGTGAATAGTGCTTGAGGCATCTTTTATCTCAGTACTAGTACTAGTAGTACATACAGATGGTATAAGTTCATCTCTCTGAATAGTAAGTTGTATTTTTATTATGAACTAAATATAAAAAAATAATATAAATTATTTTATTTAAATCTGCTAATTTAAATACAAAAGAATAGAAAAATCACAACCTCTTTCACTTCAAAGAGCTAAGCCTAATTCACTTTTAAAGACCTTGCATTCACACATAAGTAATTTAGTAAATCTTAACCCTAATACCAGTGAATCAGCTTTTGTTTCTAGAATCATTTATTTTGAGTTAATATTGCAATATAATGATTAAAATGAATAGTTAACCAATGAAGCATGTTTTTGAATGCTATAAAAAAATTGCATATATGCCATATGCAGTTTTTTTCAAAAGGAAGATTTTCAAAATGTAACAAAATGATCAGCACTTAATTATAGCCTGAAGTTAATGTGTCTGAAGTATTTTGTGTTTTGCTTATCATTCTATGATTTGCCAATTGTGAAATACAGTGCATTGAATGAGTTGGTGCTAAAATTGATACCTTATGAATAGCATTGGTTAAAATGTTTAAAACTGAGGTTGAACATGCACAGACACTGTTTTATGAGGAAAAAAGAAAAGACTAGAAAAAGGTTTAAATATTGTTCATAAATGACAGACCAAGAACTAAAGTGCAAGGGAAAATGTTTTAGCCTTAGAGGGCATTTGTTTACAGTCTAAAACATATTTTGGATTTTTTTAGGTAGAATTTCTCTTTAAACTTCATTAAAAAATTAAAATATGAGTTCAGATAAGTTATCTGTAATTTTTTCATGCCCTCATGACAAGAAAAAATGGACATGGTTGGCAAAGGGTTAAATATAGACCATGCAAAAACAAACACAGATCATATACTCCTGTTTAGAAAAAAAACTAATTAAAGCTTCAAACTTAAAAGTGGATTGCTATCAAAAACAAAATGATGCCCTAGTTCATTGCTTGTATTATGTTATTTCATTTATCTGAAATATAGATTGTAAACTTTGAAAATAAGAATACTGCTTCATTTCTTATCACAATAGTGTGAAAAAGATATATCTTACTTTAGCCATATTTTTAAGTTTAATTATTAGAAGTATGGGGGTGCTCAGTGCCCACAATTAAACTAATTGAAAAAATTAAGAGATCATTGAGTTCAACATAAATTTGATTATTAATTTCTTTCCTTTTTTTCTTAAGTGTAATTATGCTCTTAAATATGACTGTGTCCTAGTGATATCTTCATTAATCCTATAGTGCAGTTAAAAGGAACTCTGTAAAGCGACTGAAATCTCTGGCAATAGCTGGTGCTAACCTTAGTGAACAAGATGGTTGCAAAAGGACAGCTCTGCATGTTGTAAGTATGATCTCTAGGTATACATGAAAGGTTTAGAAGATAAGAATGTTTCCAGAAATGTATGAAGTTTGTTTCTTCAGAGGTTTCATTTATTTATTAGAAACAGTTAGTTTCTATATTGTTCATTATTTTATGTTTTACTTTTTCTTAAAATCAGTCTCGTAAGGTTTTATAGTTTAAGCAAAGATTCCCACTTTATATACTGAATTTTCTGTTGTTGTTGTTTTAGGCAGTGGAGATGGATCATGAAGAATGTGTCAAGTATCTCCTGGAAGTTGGCGTTGACACCAGTCGTACTAACTTGTATGAACACACACCCATAGATATTGCTAATATATTAAATAGACACAAGGTTAAAGAACTGTTAGAACAACATTTAGAAGGTGGATCAAAAGAGAGCTAACTATAATGATTTAAGTAGCTATGATATTTCTAAAATGTGTTATAGACAACAGGTTCATCTATGGTGTTTAGGTATACGTTAAGGTATAACAATACCAGTTCATTTGAAAATGACTGTTTTTTAAGCACTTGCTAATGTTTTGAAAATTCATATATTTGACATAGTGGTACATGCTTGTGAGACCTAGCCATCGAGATTTGTTTCTTGAAAATGATGAAGATTTAGAAGTATTCAGTATAACAACCATAGGAAATAGTTCATTGAAGCTGTACATTATATAATACATTCCATTAGTTTTGTTGTTGTTGTTGTTTATTTACCATAAGTAATAATTTTCTGGATCTTGGGTGGAGGGAGGGACATCACATGCTAAATATTTTAAAGGGAGACAACAACTATTTACCAGAAAAAAGATGGTCAATGTAAAACAACTATATACCAGTTCTCATGAAAAAAGATGGTTAATGTAAAAATAAATGTAACTACATAGAAAATAATTTTAGAAGACTCCATTGCTACACTGTCACTACAGAAAAAATGAATTTATCTTACAATATTACATTTTGAACAACACTATTAGGGAATTATATATTTTGTGATCTTTGTTTGAATGGTAATGACTAAATTGTAGTTTTGATTCGTAATTAGAAGTGAGCCAACATTGTAAGTTTCTAGCATGGTATTTTGTGTTTTATTACACTGGGAACCATGTACTTCTTCTCTTCGTTAGTAATGAGAAATTTCATTCCAAAAGGATGTTAATGTCTCATTCAACAAATTTTGTTAACATGGTTATATTTAAGAACTCAGGGACACTCCTTTTGTGATAAAACAAGTACATTTGCAAATTATATATACGTGTGTATTTATTAGTAGAATAGTTTCATGATTAAATTCAAGTTTAAACTTTCCTATTGATTGTATAGTTCCTAGTGAGTGACTGTGTTGTTTATTATTTGATTTTTTATAAATATATTGCCAACTTTATCAGAATGATTTTACTTCTAGAATATTATTTAAAAGCTCTTAATAGTTTATGAATTATGAGGTACTATAAGAATGAACAATATTTTCCATGTAAAGATTGTAACATTTTCATTGTAACAATTTTCAAAATATTAGAAATATTTAACTTCCAAATACCAGTTCAAATTAATGTTGAAATGGTGTATTTAAGTATTTGACATTCACAAAAAAGAAACCTATCATTCTATAGGTATATGAAGAACTTGTAGCATTCCTCCACAATTTAATTCTTGGTATTGTTAGCCGAGTTTAAACAACTCAATTCAAATTAATGTTGTTTGATAATGTCAGTCCACTGGAGTTATATGTACATTTCAGTTTTTTTGCTTTTGGTTCACTGTTTTTAATACAAAATTATAACATTTGAGTATTTTCAATACAGCTAAAAAAATAATCTACCATTTGCTTCATCTATATGTTCGTGAATTTTAAATGCTTACAGAACTTGCTGACTGACCACAACAGAAGAAAATGATACAGTATCACATTTTTATTGTCAAATTTTGTCAGTGTTGTGGCATCAAAATACTTATAAAACAGTGTATTTTTAAGTAATTAATGCAAAGTAATAACTCCCCCAGTGGGTTATTGGAAAGTTTACAAACTTACAACATTAAAATCCAGGGTTCAATTTTCCATAGTATGCAGAGTGCACATAGCCTATTGTTTAGTTATGTGCACAAACAGACAAAAGCAAAGTAATGATGATAGTAAATAAAATTGGTTTTCCTTCAGTTATTGAAAGGGTGTTCCATAAATGTTTTTCAAGATTGGTAGCTAAAGTATTCAAAAAATTATAACTTGTGTGAAAATAAATAAGATTTAGTAACAGGTCTAAATTATGAAATCTGTGTAACAGTTTTTTATGAAATAAACTTCTTAAGAATTTAAGCATGAATTTCAATTAATGTGTCAAAATTATACTGTCAGTGTTAAATTTTTTGTGCAAGTTCACTTTTCATTATATCCAAGTAGATAATCCTTTTTTATTTTTGTTTTTTGATGAATTATTTTTTAAAAATAATTATCTAATTTTATTATAATTCTAAGTTATGTAGAATAAGGGTATTGCTATTCAGCATGGTTAAAGAATGCATAACTTCTTGGCCTATTATTTATTTCAGAGAATCTCTATTTCCTGTATCTCAGAATCATAGTTGTTGAGATAAATATACATGCTGAGGTGATTGCATAAGAATGTGTTTTTTTTTTCTTTGTAATAGAGAATCTTAGAAACAAAATGGTTGTGAATTTTTTCAGTAGGTGTATCCTACTTTGTAATGATTTTTATTAAGTATTGTTTGTGCAAGGTACATTGACAATTTTACTGTTGTGAAGCAACTGTTGT